GATGCCAACTCTGTCCACATATCTATTCAAGTGACATATCTATTCGATGCCAACTCTGTCCACATATCTATTCAAGTGACATCATCATAGGACCTAATCACATCAGCCATACCATCAGGGGCTCATTCACCTGCACATCTACCAATGTGATATATGCCATCATGTGCCAGCAATACCCCTCTGCCATGTACATTGGCCAAACCGGACAGTCTCTACGCAAAAGAATTAATGGACACAAATCTGATATCAGGAATCATAATACTCAAAAACCAGTGGGAGAACACTTTAATCTGTCTGGTCATTCTATGACAGACCTGCGGGTGGCTATTTTACAACAGAAAAACTTCAAAAACAGACTCCAACGAGAGACTGCTGAGCTGGAATTGATATGCAAACTAGATACAATCAACTCAGGATTGAATAAGGACTGGGAATGGCTGAGCCATTACAAACATTGAATCTATCTCCCCTTGTAAGTATTCTCACACTTCTTATCAAACTTTCTGTACTGGGCTAGCTTGATTATCACTTCAAAAGTTTTTTTTTCCCCCTCTTACTTAATTGGCCTCTCAGAGTTGGTAAGACAACTCCCGCCTGTTCACGCTCTCTGTATGTGTGTATATATATATATCCTCAATATATGTTCCATTCTATATGCATCCGAAGAAGTGGGCTGTAGTCCACGAAAGCTTATGCTCTAATAAATTTGTTAGTCTCAAAGGTGCCACAAGTACTCCTGTTCTTTTTTAAATTGTAGAGTTTTACTGCCTTCCCTCCCATACCCTTCCCACTATTATCCCAGCTATTATCCAGTGATACCGTAGAGAAGATATGCTAATTAACAGAGTTGAAGGCATTTGGTTTTCATCAGATTAAAAACACCTCAAAAAAGCATAAGAGGGGAGGCCACAAGCTGCTCCTCCACAGAACCTCTACGAAGGAGAAAATCCAAAAAAAGCAAGTGAGGTTTCTCCAAATAATCACCTTTGGAGAGTACCTCAAACCTGCCCTCCCCTTCCTCCACATGACTCCTGCAAAGAAGCATAACAAATGGGAATCCAAGTAGGAGCTGGGATGGACAACTGGTGTCCAGGCTTTGGGCTCTGTCCTTGTGACACAAAATACTGTCAGATGGTAGTTTAGAACACCTCTCTCTGTAAACCCAGTTCATCTATTCACCATACCAAGGCCTCCCCAAGATCTCCAGTACCCTTTCTAGCTGTCCCCAAATGCCCCTCTTGCCCTGGATAAAATGGCATTATCCCACGAATCAGGGAATGCATCTCCCATTGCCAGATGAGATACCATCCTCCCTACATTTCACAGGAAAGCCAAATCTGAATGACTTTTGCTAACCTAGTCTGAATTGGAACTTGGTTTATGATTTACAGGTTAAAAAGTTTCTCTGTCTGCATACTGTCTCAAGATCAGAAATACTCCATAAATCTCAAAGCACTGAAGGAAAAGGAGTATTATTGCTCCCATGTTACAGAGAAAGGAAGGGATCTGCCCCAGCTAACAGAGCAAGTCAGTGGCTGACCCTAGAATGGATCCCCGTCTCTCAGCTCCCAGCCCCACGCATTTCAGCTAGACCACACTGCCTCAACTAGAATTGAAATATTTCATATCCTATTCATCTCCTGAACCAGCATGTCCACCTCATTCCACTCAGAGCTGAAACAAATATTTACGATACTAGTGGCACTTTCTGGGTAATTTGTCTGGCAGTATGAAAATATACTGACAAAGGACATGAGATCACAAGCAGTGGTGAGAGACAGACGCTATATTCCTTCGGGCTCCCAGGATTTCAGCACAAGTCCTAGTTTGACAACTTAGAGGGGTGGAAAGGAGAATGGGGGAAGGTTGTCAGATCTCTCCGTGTTTATCAGTGAGAGAAACTCCAACACAAAACACCCCACCAAAGAATCCTCCCCCTTATAAGAGGGAACTGGGCTTAAGACATCCTGAAATACTGGGACCTTGGTTGGTTAAAATTTCAAGCAGTCTCTCACTCCACCCTCACCAGAAAGCACCGGACACATGGCAGGGGAGGACTCACAGGCTCGTCATGCTGCTGACTAACGAGGTCTCAGGATCACATTTTCCAGCTCCACCACTTGCTGCTGAAGAAGTGGCTCTTGGGCAACCCAAGTGGCCAATAACATGATTTAAAAGGAAAGCGGCAAAGAGGCAGAGTAAGGAGGATTGTGCGCGGTAAGCTTTGTGCGCTCTCTCACCCAGGGAGCATCTGGAGAGGATTTTCTCCAGCAGACAGAGAAGAACTCGATTACATCCAGTTAACTGTGCTCTAAACTGATTATGCATGTGCCAGGCTAATGGATTACATTAGCAAGAGGAAAAATAACATCCAATCAATCTCAATTTACTGCAGACCACACCAAGGGCTGAGAGAAGAGAAGAGAAACTGGTCCATGAACTGCCCCCACTCCTCCCATCAGCTATCAAAGCTCCATGGCACTAAAACCACACTCAAGAATGGAAACTCTGAGCTGAGGACCTCAGTGAACAGCTCTGAGTATCTACAGCCAAGTTCTTCCATGAAAATGAGCACCGAATCCATCAATGCGCTGGGCTACTCCTCTCTGGGAATCTCTCCTTTCATTGGACAGCACAATGGTAACTAAGTAAGAAGAGCTACATGACTTATACGATTTACAATGAAAGTGGTTGGGGTACCAACGCAATGAATTCCATACAAGCATTTCAGGGAATGTGTGGCTACACTAGCAGACATTTATACCTATGCTAGACCGGTAGGTGCCCGGGTTCAGTATTTTGATACCAAGGTAGTTCCTGCTCTCTCTTGCTTGAATGTTTCACTGCAACTCTCACTTCAAAGACAAATGAGATTTTAAAATCGTGACTAAGTGCTCAGGGCTGAATCTACCGAGTGTCCCTGAGAATGAATTCCTTCGCCTGTCTGGGAAAGGCCTTTCACAAGCCTCCAATATATTGTTTTAGAAAAGCGTTCCCCGCACCATCTCTTCATTTATCATTTTCCTGTTTCGGCAGGAAACAGGGAGGGAAGGAGAAAGCCAGTGCCCGCAATCTGCTTTCTCACCAGGGAGCACAACAGAGCCAGAGGGTTTGAACCAAGAAATTTTGCAGCCTGTCACCATTGTCTTGTCCTCACACAAGAGCAACAAAAATCAAATCTAAAGACTATTACAAGTTGAAATCATGATGCTTGGTACATGAGTTTTAATTCTGAAGACAGACCACTTTATTTAGATGTCCTCTCCTAGCCTCTGAGAGATCTCTCCTGTTCCCACATTCACCCCAAATTCCCTCTCATACATATCCCAGCTTCTTTGACTTTACTAAAATAGGATACTTGAAAGCAGAGAAATAGGAGTGAACTTAGTCATCTTCAGAGCCGAGCTGTGCCGTGCCATGCCATGCCACGGATAACAGCGATGTTCAGAGGAGCCCCGGTCACATCCGCTGGGCCTGCAGCTCCAGGAGCTTCCTCAGGGCATGCCCTGTTCATACTAGCTGAGTCTCCAGTCGTTCTAGCCTAGGCTAAATTATTCACCCCTCCTATCACTTTCCCCTCTCCCCCTGAAATTCCTGGAGTAATCCATTTCCTGGAACAACTCCCTATGTTAAAAACCGCACATTTCCTCCTTAGTCTGGGGGGACAAACAGGGAGAGATGCAAAGTTTTGAACTCACCTGAGACAGCAAAAAGGCATGGCAGGTTTAGAAAATGAAAGAAATAGGGTACAAAATGAGACCGCCTAGTCTAATCCAAAATTATAGACCCCTTTAGGGTTATAGGGAGAGGAAAGGAGAAAAGACAGACAGAGAATATAAAATTGAGCTAAATGAGAAGACAGCGAGGTACAGAGCATGTGTAAGTGAGTAGAAGGTATGCGAAGTGAGGCTGCTTAGATTTATGGCGATTTGTACCTGATTGTTCATACTAAAGCCATTATGGGATGATTAGAGAAAAAGGTGAAGCTTTAAGTCCAGTGAAAATCAATAAAAACGTCTGGAGCAATTCTGCTGCGCGAGTGAAAGGACTATTTACTGTATCTGGAGCTTCTCTTGGGTTACAGCCTACAGGGTTTGGGTGGGGGGAGGGGGGAAATGAGGCAGGAGAGGAAAAGATGGTTACAGAAGGGACAGAAAATTGGAGGCAAGAGGAAAAAAAGACAAAAACCAAGATAGCAGTCATGCAGCAACATGTAACGTGGAAGGTGAGTGGTAATGAAAGGCTGTGACATATCGTCCTAGGGAAGCTGTCAGTTTGACCAGGCCTTCAGTCAACTACATGTATAGAATTTGTTCTCGCTCCTTTCCAGCAGGCTCAAGCAGTGGTTCAAGAACACATCCTTAGCACTCCTATATACACACCGCGCAAAAGAAACAGGGCACTGGCAGCTTCTTTGACACTCCCCACACGCATTCTCCATTCTAGCATGAGCACACTGCCTGGAGTTCCTGCTTGGATGGGAGTAGCTTTTTGAAAGTTGTTTGCAAGGATGAGCAACCTGACATAAGGCAAACCCTAGCTAGCAGAATCCCTTCCGAGATTAGCAGTGAGAAAGCATTTGTTGGGATGCAATTTTCAGACAGGACTGATGATTTTGGATGTGCAATGTCACACACCTTAAAGGGATCTAATTTTCAGAGGACAGGTGCTCAACCTCTCAAGTTGGGCACCCAACAGTCACTATCACTTTTGAAAAGCTTGGCCTAAGGCTTTCGGAGCCCAGAAGAGTTGCTAGCAAAGTGCAAGCCGACAAGGTGTGTGATCCCAGTGAGCCTGGGGCCAAGCCCCGCGGAGGTACTAGACTGAATGGGTTTAAAATCCCACTCTCACCGTAGTTCAGATTTGACAGTCGGGTCCCCCACAAGGAAGATAAAGAGCTATCACGCCTCACCTTGTACAGCTTCAGGCTGGCCTCATGCCTGGAGTTAACTGTGTGCAGACGCAGTTTCTCCAGACTGTTGGTGTAGTAGTCACAGGCATTACACTTCAGATGCACGGGGTTCCCGATGGCCACACATTTCAGCCTCCACTCGTTGGCCTTGCCACCCTCCTTGATGTGCGCTACTAGTTGGTACTTCTGCACGTGCTTATCAGTTTTGCAGTGGAGCTGGAAGTTTGCCTTGAGTTGTGTGTTGTAGCGGCACAACTTGCATTGGTATGAGTCCCCCATCACTGCCTTCCACTCATCCTCAGGTAGGGTGCGCTCCACATTCATGTGCAGCCCCAGCATGTCCAGGTTGTCTGTAGTGAACTTGTTGCACACAGCACACTGGAAGAGCTTCAGTGATGGGTCATTTGTTTGTGTGAAGCTCTCACCCAGGTTCATTAGCTCCTCGGACACCAGCTGCCCGCCCCCCAGCCGCATGTCCAGGGGGATCTCTCCACCCACTGCACAAAGGAGAGAGAAAAATACAAGTCAGAAAAGCTGGATCCTGTACCCCCCATGACAGGAGCAGAGCAGAACATTCACTCCCCCAGCATGCCCCATAATATGCCCACCAGGTTGTGGGTCAGAAGCAAAACACAACAGGACTTCTCACCCCTTGCCCAGGCCTCTGCCCTGCTGGTATCCCGGGCCAGGCACAAAAGTGCCAGCTGCCTGGGTCTACAGCCATTGGGCCCAGAGCACAACAGTCCCTTGTTGCCCAGCCCAGTACCTGCTGGCCCTTGGGCCAGGAGCACAGCAGGTCCTCGCCAGCCACAGAGAAAATAAATGCGAGTCCCAACAGATTTTAGGAGGGGAAAGTCTCCACTGTACTGCTCTGTGGAAAAACTGTCTGACACTCTCCCACTTGCAGGCTCTATCACCTATGTGGTCACCTCTCAAAAAATCGGACAGTTCTCTTCAGGCAGGCACGGACACAGGGAAGAGACAAGAAAGGTCACCCATGGGACATCCAAACCCAGCCCCTGCTGAATAAGAGACTCTCTGGCCATGATGCACAGCAGCACAAGCAGTGTGATTAGGAAGTTATGCTGCAGCAGCACCAAAAGTAATTCATTTCTGCAACTAGCAAGAGCCGACAGCTGCAGCTCCCTAAAAGTACCATGCTCTTAGCAGGAAGCCTCAGCACTTGTCTGAAACAAAAATTCAGGATGGTAGATACGCTCACGGAAAGTCCTGGCCGGGGGGAGAGCTTATGGCCAAAGAAAGGATGACGGCTAATAACGGGAAGTACAAGTATGCGTATGTGTGTCAGAGAAAAAGTCAGCAGGACGCATGCTCTCTCTCTCTTGCTCTGTCATATCCCCGCTCTTCAAATTATCACTGACCCAGCTAAACCAAGAGCTGACCTCCATTCACTTATAGTAAATGGATACAGCGAGCTCTTCTTTAGATCGTCAGAAAGGCGTGAGGATGTGGAAGGAGGGAAGACTCCTCTCCATTACCTGGGATCTCATACCGAAGCAAATAGCCCAACCACCGGCCTCCATGGGGGAGCTCTGCTCAGCTTTCCTCCCCCCACATTTCAGCTAGTTTGGGTTTGCTTTTTTCCCCCTCTTCAACAACTAAGCCTGACCGCGTGCCAGCTCAGTTTAAGGGGTTATTTTTAAGTCTGATTAGCCTTCAAGTCTAAAGCTAATCAAAAAAGGGAGATTTTACTTGTTTTCCTTTCTAGGCTATCAGTCATTTGCGGAGGAACAGCCAGCATCGGGAGCGGTCTCAATTTGCCGAGCAGGCGTGCAACCTGTGCAGAATCCAGAAATCTGCACAAACCTTTTCTAAGACAAGTGCTCCTGGATGGTGGAGGCTAGTTTTCAATGCACTGCGTGTGCTGCCTCTCTTCCCTGCGGAGATGCATGGCCATAATGATAGTTACGTCTCTAGTCAGGGAAGAGCCATGAAGCCTTTAGTTCCGTCTGCTTGCAAGGCACAGGCAACTGGGGCAGGCGTCCCATGCCCAGTAGCACACACAACGCTCACAGACAGGAGACAAGGCTAATGAGGGAAAAGTCCAGCTTGCTGGCACATGCACTCCTTTCGACGTGCCAGGGCATGCATGGATTAGGGGCCTTTCCTCTATCTAGGTACGTTTTTCATCCCCACCATTGTACTGTCTGATCATCTACTCCCTCTCCTGCCAGGGCAGTATTATGCACCCAAGGGCACTTGCTAGTGCACAAACCACTCATTTTTAGTGTCCCAAACAACTAGGCTTCCTCTGCTTCCCCTGGGAGACTTTTCCACAGCCTACCTACCCAGTCAGGCCATTTTTCCTGACATGCAACCTAGCCTCTCTCTTCTGAGCTAGTCCATCCCAATCACGTTCCACAATGAGGAATGCTGAATGGAAATGGAGTCCCCAGAATAGCCAGTGTTCTACTCAAACCTACAAGCCACAGGCAGGTCTGGGATTCAATGGAAAAAAAGGGGCAAAGCACCTCGTACCTGCCAAAACAAGGACTATGAATATGTTTATAAGCAGCAAATAAAAAAGAAGGGACAGATGACTAAGGAAGTGAGGAGGAAGGGGCTTAAAAGGCATCCATGCAGAACAAAGCCACTCTAATAGACCCAAAGTAAAAGATTTATCCTAACACCTAGAATTGTCCAGTGCTTATTGGCAAGGGCAGGGACTCTGCCCCGCAACTCCTAGCTCAAGATTTGTAGCCATGATTCCTAATGCCATAAAGTGCACAAGTCACAAATCACTTCCCAAACGAGCTTAGACTCATTCAAGATGCTCGTATTCAGCTGGAGTCACTCAAGAGTAGGACACCAGCTAGGTTACTCCCACTTCCTCTCAGAAACACTTCCCTAGAGCTTAAGGTAGGCAGGGCTGGGGACTTTGACGGGGGTATGTCTCAGGAAACCCTAAACATGTTGACTCCCCATAATGTTAATAATGTCAACAAGCTACATTATAAATGTTTCTATATAGTTTCTACTGGCAACCCGGAACAATTAAAAAAAGTCACAGCAAAGACAAAACCATTGCCACCTTCCGCAAGGACACAAGCTGGGACAACAGATACGTGGAAGAAAATTGTAATTACTTTTTGTTTGTAGTGCCTTCCATTCCTCAGTTTTCCTTTTCTTTTCCTTTTGATGTTCTGTGTTCTCTCCTCTCTCAAATAAACAGATGTTTTGAAAATTTAAGATAATCAAGCCCCTCTGTGCGGCAATAAGCTACATTGCTACAGGGGTATAGGGAAAAGATGCTGGCGTCTTGGGAACCCAAAACATAGTGCCTTAGGAGTAACGGTCTTAGACCAAGCTAGCCTGTCCAATCTCAATGGATGAAGAAGATTACAAATGACGGAGTTCAGTAAAAAGGAGGTCAGGTCAGAGGAATGTAGGATAAAGTAGGTGCTCTCCTTGTATATGTAACTTCTGAAAGCAGTGTCAAATAATTGTGGTTATAGTGAACTGGGGTGCAGAGAAAGGGTCATTTCAGCTGGTAAATGCTACAGACCCTTGCCAGAGCTGATCTGGTAGAGTTCTATTATGCTTCACTGAATCATATTGGATTGGCAATAGGAAGCTCAAATACACATGGATAGATGCATATTGTGTGCACTATAGCAAGGGTTCCTGTAGGTGAAGATACAGTTGTGTCCTTTAACTGACTATAACAGCGTATCAGACTTTCAAGAAGAGATTTAGCCCATCATTCCAAATTCTAACTTTATTCTTAGATAGTAAATTCCTTGGTGCAAGGACTGTGCCTTTACTGACAACTGTGATGCCAACATGCATGCGTATATGTATAATAAAGTCTTGTTTTCAGGTAATAAAGTACCGTTAATATGCCTGTTCAGAGAACATGCTGTGTGGATGACAAACCCTCTTCAAAATAAACAGATCACCTCCCTTCCCTACACAAGCCAACCTTTGTCCGACCCTTTCTATCCTAACAACTCTCGGTGCTCAAGCTTTGAGTTCAGATCTCAAACCAGCATCCATTGCAACCATCTCTACTCGCCCCCTTCACCAAGCAAATACCACTCACTCTATAGGCATCTATCACAACTGTCAATCACGTTTATCCTGACCTACCAATTGTCAATATATTTCACTTCTCCAGATCCAGACCCCCATAACCAACATCTACCCTCTCTAATACAATGCAACTTCCAAGCATCAGACCTCCCCCTTTCTCATTAAACCCCCCTTCAATAGTATGCTTCACCCTCTCCAAACTAAGGAGGGAGTATAAGGTGCCTTTGCTGCGGGTACTGGAGAACCCTTAACAATCCAATCAGCGATGTTCACCCATTGCATCCTCTCTCAGTGGCTTCAGTGTTTCCCTATTCAATTCATCCACAGAGTTTCCTGAAGTTCACAAGAAATACATAGGAACACAAGAGGGTGCCAAGATTTTCTGAAGATAAGAAAAAGTTAGGGTGAGAATGGAGAAGGGTCTCTATCCCTTTCATGGTTCACCAAACTATGTATGTATTGCGTGGAAGGCCATAGATATTTCAGAATAGGATTGGAGAAAAAAGATTGGGATGGACAGCACCTCATCCACCCACAGAGCCTAATGGCAAAAAGAAAATCCCTCTCCCCCCCCACACACAGACATGACAGCAGCAAAAACAGGAAAACACTTCAACCTCACCTAGAGATGGAGCCATAGTTGCCATAGGATTGGTGGGATCGAGTTGGTATCCACCCATCATGAACTGGGCATCAGATGAAGTGCTGTCCATCTTCAGGTTGGGTAGATTCATGTTTTGTGCCAGGTAGTACTGGTACAGCTCAGCCTCAGCTGGGGAGGGCAGGCTGCCAAGGCCCATATGCCGGTTGTGTTGGATTTGGGTCATATTCTGCTGAAGCAGCATCATATTGTGCATATGCTTCTCACTGGTCATATGAATGCGAAGGTTCCTCGCGACATTGGTTTCGTAGTCACACACCTCACACCGCCAGGTGGGTTTGGTTTTTGGTTTGGTGGGTGAGGGGGCCCCACAGGTGCTACCAATGTTTGCTGCCGCAGCTGCTGCCGCTGCCGCAGCTGCTGCCGCTGCCCCAGCAGCGTGACTGAAGACTTGCTCTCCCCCTCCATTCTGCAGGTTTTGCATGTTGTTGAGATGCTTGTCGGACTGCATATGAATACTGAGGTTGCCTTTGGTAGTAGTGGAGTAGTTACAGACCTCACAGCGAAAAGGCTTGTAACCACAAGTGTAGCTCTCGCCCCGTGCCAACCGGGGGTGTGGCTGCCCACTCTTGCAGTACACACATGAGCCACCTGGCTCGGGGTGCTTCTCCTTCATGTGTGCCTCAAGTGTCTGCTGGTATTTGTAGTGCCAATTGCACTTGGGACACTTGAGTGTCTTACACGAGTTGCGAGAGTGCATCATGGTCATGTGGCCGCCTAGTGATCGTGAGGAGCCCAGGACGGTGTCACACTTTGGGCACTCCACGCCACTCCCCGAGGGGCACTCCCCACCCCCAAGCTCACAGAGGGGACCAGCATGCTGGTGATGGGAGATGTAGCTCCCATCCTCACCCTCTGCACTCTCATTTGGTTCTGGTGCTGTGGCATTGTCTTTATTGGCACTTTCATCGATGAAGTCCAACCTCCTGCTGCCCTCTGCCACGCTGGCTCCACCGCCCTCATTGTTAAAGCTTAAACGACTCCTCCTGTTTGCACCATCAAAGACAAAGGAAGAAGCAGAATTAGAACTAGAAGAAGCTGTGCTCCTTGACAGGGTCTGGAGCACGTTAGGCATTAAGGGAGAGTTAGAAATGCTTTGGTTTGAGAGAGCAGGGTCCTTTTTGCTGCTGCTACCTGCCACAGCCCCAGACTCTTCATGGGGCCTATCTTCCAATTCATCCTCCAACTCGCTTGGAAACAGTCCTTTGCAACCCTCATCGTCGTCGTCTTCCTCCTCCTCCTCCTCCTCTTCCTCCTCCTCCTCCTCCACATCCTCCTCGTCTTCATCCTCCACCTCCTCAGCTGGCTCTGCCTTTTCCGAGAGGCTATCCTGGTCACCCATTTCTTGCTTCTCACTATCTGCTGCCCCAGGGTCTTTTCCCTCTGAGGATTTGGTAGGACTGGAAGCCAGCGGGCCCAGGGGGACTGAGGTAATTGGGGTTTTCAGAGCCGAGCTGGTCAGCCCACCAAGGTTCAAGAGGGCACCAGGCGCCAAGATGCCTGATGGTGGCTGCTCTGCTCCACTGGCAGTGCCAGTCTGGAGAGCCTCTTCCCCTTCCATTCGAATGCCACTGAATTTACCGTAAAAGCTGTGTCCAGGGCCTATGAGGTTAGCTGCGGAAACTAAAGGGTGTTGAAAGTTTTTGTTTTTTGGTTCCAGAAAACTTACAAGGGGTTCCTTGTCTTTGCCTATCCCTTGGATGATAGCGGAGATGTTCTTATTGCTAAGAATTTTCCGCTCCTCCTCACTCAGAGTCATTCGATGGTCATGCACTGCATGGGTCACAAATGAGCGGACATACCCAAAGGAGAGCTTGCACAAGAAACACATCAGTATGGGCTTCCTCTTCCCATAGAGCACAAAGCCATCAAATTTGGACAGGTCCACATTGTTGGGAACATCTTTGGATACACAGGAGCTTTTGGCAGAACCGTCGCTGTTCAGGTAATCCTTGTTGCTTTTGTGTCGCACATCAAAAACGCGGAAGCTGTGCAAGACGGGGCTGATGCCCGTCAGGGCTGAGGTATTCGGGAAGGACTGGTCTGAGCCCTCAAACCATTTCCCGAAGGATGAGGCTATGTGGAAAGTATTAATGATCTGTGGGTACACGGGTGCAGCAGAGGAGGGTTCTCCTTGTTTGCCCCCAGCGTTGGGTAGAGAGTTCATAACGAACGAAGGGAGAGCCCCACTGCCACTGCCACAGGCTCCCCCACTTTGGATCAACTGGTTGACGCTTTCAACAATATACGCGGAGCCATCTGGCTGGTAGACTATTTCTCCAGCAAGGTTCTCCACGTCACTCTCCTCGTCCCCCTCCTCACTGGTATCGCTCCCACTTTCCTCCCTCAGTGGAAGAGGTGGGCGGGCACTGGGGCAATGGTGCTCCATATAGGTCTGTAAACTGGCGAAGGAGGCCAAGCATTCGTTGCAGCTGACCTCTTTGCTAGTGGACTCAGTGTTGGGGCCAGCTGAGTTGGTGCTGTCTGGAATGCGCTCATTAAAGGGGACCCTCAGGCTGTCTAGGGCCCCGTGGTTTTCGGTTGTGGACTGCTCCATGCTACTGGGTTTGTCAGGGAGGTGGGTGCTGTTGAGTTCAGTCCATTGCTGGTGCTGAGGGATGCCACACCCATTGTCCTTCCCAGAGATGACAGGCGAGTCACAGCCTTCCATGGTAAGGCCTGCATGGAGCTTTCATTGCACCCACTACGGCTTGGACCTAAAGGCAAAGAGAAAGTGGGGAGACAGAAAGAAAGAGAAAGGCGAATAAGTTAGAGAAGGCACACACCGCGTTTCCACACAGCAGTCACTATAATGCACACAGTCCATTTAATCCTAGAGCATCCAAAGCCCTGGAGGGGAGATAGCGCCCCACTAATAAGCTTCTGAAATGCAAGACCTAACCCAAGGTAATGAGGATAATGCAAAGGAACTGAAGCCAGGGAGAACAACCATGTTGGGGGCTGAAAGAGCACTACAACCAGTTCCTCACTGGAGGAAGAAAAGGTGGCCTTGCCCCTCTTTTGCTACTCAGTGATGGAGGTAGAAAAAGTAAGAGCTGGACTGAGGCACTGGGCGTGGCCGGGGTGCAGTGACCCTGCCAAAGACTAGTAACTGCACTGTATCCCTAAGCAGCTTAGGCTCTCTTTAAAAATGATGCAATTTAAGCCGATTTTAAACTAGAAAAGCCTTTGAGTGGAAACAGAATTAAGAAGCTGCAATGAAATAATGTAAGTAACAGCTGCAACATTAAACCTCTATGAAGAACGTGCTACAGAGGCCCTCCCACTCTCCTTACTACCACGGGAATTAATACACTTTCCTAGCACACACGTACAGAGCAAGTGACTCCTGAACTTGGATCCTGCCATTTCAAGACACATTCTTCTGTTAAAAGTCCTGGTAATAGAGAGAACATTGCTGTACCCTTCACACATCATCTTTGCCACAGACCACCAAGACCTGGACCAACTCCCAAGGTCCTCAAACTCACAGGACACTATCTGGATATCTAAGCAGTTAAATTCAGCCAAGCATATAGCAGAGTGGGGGGGGGAGCGATAGCTCAGTGGTTTGAGCATTGGCCTGCTAAACCCAGGGTTGTGAGTTCAATCCTTGAGGGGGCCACTTAGGGATCTGGGGCAAAAATCAGTACTTGGTCCTGCTAGTGAAGGCAGGGGGCTGGACTGGATGACCTTTCAAGGTCCCTTCCAGTTCTAGGAGATAGGTCTATCTCCATATATTATATAAAGAGTGGATATGAAATTATTTAAGAATGTAGAAATTGCCAAACCAGATCAAATCCAGGGCCCATTTTAGCCAGTATCCTGTATCAGGAGCCAGTATCAAAGGAGGTAAGAAACTCCATCGTGCACAACCTGCTCATGGGTGAAGTTTCTTTCCAACCCATCTCTATTAATGGTTGGCTATGCCCTGAAGCATGAGAGTTTACACCTCTCCCATTTTTTTCTACTGTCTAATATAACTAGACGTCCTCATCAGCTGTAAGTGTCTAATCCTTTCTGAATCCTATTAAGGCCTTGATCTCAGTGATATTCTGTGACAATGAGTTCTACAGGTTAATCGTGCATTATTTAAAACCATTATTTCCCTTTATTGCTTTAAACATATTACCTTCCAATTCCACTGGACATCCCCTTGTTCTTGCATTATGAGAAAAAGAAGAACAGAAAGACGAAATGACCTCTAGGCCATGCAAACAGTAAATGATGGGACAAAGAGCAATAGATGGAACTGAAAGATGGTACAGAACATCTTTTCCCCAGACAAATGGATTGATCTTTAAAAAAGCCCACCACACACACACACACTTATTTGATGAACGACAGGGCAGATGCAATACCTTTGGATTTCTGTTTTATACTTCTTTACAAAACGTATTCCACTCAGCTTGAACTGAACTGTGACATGAACTGAAAATCGGTTAAAAGAGCCAGCAGAAGTGAAAGTGGTGGCTGGTCCCAACTTCTCCCTCAAGTTCATTTCAACTGTCCTTTCCGAAACTGACAGAAGTCTAACTTCAACCTGGCAAACCCAGCTATGGGCAACTCAGGTGTAAGTCTGTAAACAAAGGAAAGGACACACACATTGTATCTAAGGAGGAGAAGAGCCAAACGCTGCGCCTCGCACGAAGCACTGCAGCATTTCACAAGAGTTAGCTGTGCCAGCTCTGGGCAAGTCTTATGATCCCTTCACTCCACCGTGGCTCTGTTTGAAGCCATTCAGCATTACAGAGCACTGGGCGTACTGGATGCGTATCTGCACATGCGTAACGAGTCCTAGGGTCATCCTACAATGCTCCTGCCCAGCCTTGTGTTCCACTTGCTCCAAGGTTCACTAGAGGTCCCCAGTTCTAGCTATACCCACCTCTCGTTCAAAAACATGGCTTTAACCATCATCCTTACGCCGATGACTTTCAGATTTACCTTGCTACTTCAGACAAGTCTCCTGTCCAAGCTAAAATCTCTTTCTGGCAGACACCCCTTTGTGGATGTCCAGCTAGCAACTCAATTCTACATGGCCAAAACTACATGACCTGCCCGTCCCAACTCCTATCAGTCATCACCCCCACCATCCTCTTCATCACTCAGGCCCATAATCTCTACTTCTCTCTCTAGGCCCATACATTCAAGCTGTGTAAATTCTACCACTTTTTCCTGCTCAACAGCTCTAAGAGTCAGCTTTTTCCTCTAGCTATAAAACTCATCCAAGCCCACAGTATCTCATGTCTTTACTGTTACAACCATCTCTTTGCTGTTCTTAATAAATGCCATCAAATCTATTCAAAATGCTGCTGGAGAAGTCATCTTCCTGGCTTGTTATTTCAGCCATGTTACCCTACTACACCCCTTTGCATCCTGGCACAGGCCCCATTCCCCATTATATCAAACAAAGCACTTAGCTGGACATTTAAGGTCCTTCATGGACTACCCCCCTTCCTACTTTTCATCTTATATGCTACTGAGCCATCAACCTCCATCCCTGGGCCAAAGCTGCCAGCCACAATTGCCAATCTGACAAATTTTCAAACAAGCATCTTGGTGCTCTCCCGCATGGTGCCACTTTTTCCTGGGAGACGCTCCCTGTAAAAATCCACAGTGGCAGTATGTTATCCTCTGACTTTCCTTGAAATTCACCTATGACAATATCTACAATCACCTGAAGACAGCAATGCAGCTGGCGTCCAGTGGCTGCTGCTCCTGTCTCACTATTACCTCACGTTCCCACAATCCGCTGCATCCACTGGTTGTGTCTTCTCTGATAAGCCCTTAGGGGCAGAGTACACACAGTACCTAGCACAACAAGGCCCTGGTCCTGGATCAGAGCCGCTAGGCACAACCACAACGCAAACAGCCACCAACAACTAACAACGGACTGCCAATCAGTAGGAGCTTGCTGCAAATCATGACAAGCCGGTTTGGGTTATGTACTTAGAGGCATCGCCACACGGATAGAGGAGGCAGGAATTCCTTTCCGTAGAGCTCTGGTGCAACTGCAACGGACATACAGAAGTCATTGCTAAGCACCTCATTACCACAATGAGCACAGAAACCAGAGCTCAGAAACCTCATCTAGAGCATGCTTAAGCCAATGCAGGGATTGTTCCTGCAGTGCTACTGAACTGTCCAGGCTAGTTGTGAATGTCCCAAGTACGGAGTTTCCCTGGGAGATTATTTCAAACCCTAATACATCTTTGTCAGGAATCCGTGCGATATTCAGCTTAAGTTTTCTATGTCTTAATTTTATACTTTAGTCTTAATTATGTTTCTTTGAGTCAATCTAAGTAACACATTTATACCTACATAATTTTTAAAATAACCTTTCCTCATAAATCATTTCTTACAGCTCCCTGACCATTTTGGTTGCTATTTTCTGAACTCACTCCAGTTAATCTGTAACTTTCTTCTTAGGAGGTGCCAAAAAAGCAAATAATACTCCAGGTTTGGTCACCCCACACCAGACCAGTCGAGAGGAATCATCATCTCACTGATCCATAGAGATGATGCTTTTGTACATAACAAGCCAACATTGCACTTGCCTTTTTTGCAGCCCTGTTACTTTACAAACGCCAACAGAATTAGCTGTCCACCACCAACTCTAGGTCTCTTTCAATACAACTAATCCGTAATGTTTTAATTATATACTTTGAAAATGTAAAATGCTTTAACTGCTATCTATCATGATCAGAGTTTGTAAATTTACCTGACCCAAGGATTGAACCCAGTAGCTATGGTTAAAGACACCTGCGCTGCTACATTCTTCCAAAGCTGTATGCCCTGAAATTTAAAGGAATACTGTAAAAAAAACAAACGAGCCACCCCTTTCAGTAATCGGGCCCTGTTGAGCATGTACTAGGTTTAATTGGAACACCATAAAATATATAACAAATGAAGTTTCCATTTAATAAATTTTTAAATGTTACTTATGGGGGTAGGTGACATCAGAGAAAAAATATCAGCTACATGTGCAATTTGACAAATTTCACTGAGTTGAATGTTTTCCAAGAAGCGTCTGACCAGCTACAGAGCTAGCTGAATGCCACAAAAAGTGGTTCTTGAATAAATTACTTGACTATAACAAAGTTACTTGAGTAATGTATCACTTGGCAAATTTGTTATGCCTGCTCTTTCTTCCTGGCTTCACTCTTCACCCATATTTATTTTTCTTTCCTATAATGGATCATGGTGGATATTTTCCTGATTTGCCATCTATGCTATTTCTTCTTTCCCTTCTCTCTCTCTCCATGTTATTGTATTTCCCTCTCCGTATATAGTTCTCTTCTTCCTTCAATACATTATCACTTCCTCCTCTCTCATTACATATACATATGTACACACATGCATGCACTCTACTTTCTTCTGCGTTATCCCCTCAATCTCTCCAGTCTACCCCATTCACACCAATCCCACAGGTAAAATTTACAATTTCTGTGACGCTATGTCCAGGACTAAATTTGCAAGTAGTAAACTGGCAAGAGCGCTGATAAGCCTCTCCAAGCGAGAAGCCAATTCTCTCACATCCCAACCTGCTGGGACTCTTCTCAGGGTGCTATTCCAGGACCCTATTTGGGAGTTCTAGCTTTTTCTCTGCCTCTGGCTAGCAGTTTGATCACTTACGCTCCCCAAAGCTCTCTGGCTGGTGGAAAAAAGCGAGACTCTAAACTATCCTAAAGTCTCCCACCTGCTACAAAGGTACCTG